GACACTATTTTTTTACTTTGAGCGGCCACAGGGAGGTTTTTTGTTTTAATGACAAGCCTCTTTTTCAGCTACCCCCTGCTAAGCAGATTACACAGGTCTCCCACCTACTTAGGTCACTGCCGATAGTGGGTGAGAGGGCAGGTTGTGCCGGGAAAGGAGGGGGGTTGCCAAAGGCAGTGGAGCACCAGGGCAGCCAGTTTGCATGCCCACTTCTAGCCAAGCATGGAGCACTTGCTGCTCTTCCAGCCGCTGCAGAGTGAGGCTGGCAGGTTTGCTGCAGTGCGATGGAAGGGAGAACAGCTGAGGCAGTTTCTGCTGTTATTTTGTTAGCATATGTCTGCTCCCTCAGAATGTTTCACCGACCTCCTTGCCCTCCGGTAGGGATGCTAAGGCCTGTGGGAGGTCAGTTATTGTAACTGTCAGAAGGTCTCTCTGAGCTTGCTGTTTTCCTCCCCTTTTCACCGCTCCACCTGGAGATCCATGAACGCTGAGGAACAATAAACGAGAAGCTGCACAAGAACACTGGGAGGAGGCTGCAGGTGTTAAAGGACTGCAGATCTTAGAGAGAGAGGAGGGAAGATTCAGCAAAGTTATCTACCATTACATCGTCTCATCACCACAAGTCCCAATTGTTTTATCATTTATCATCCCTGGGTCTGGTACTGTCCTGTCTTGCATCCAGTATTAACATCTTCATTAATGATTTGGATGATGGAATTGATTGCTTGCACGCTTAGCAAATTTGCAGACAACACCAAGTTTGGTGATCATTTAGGTGGATACTCTGGAGGGCAGGGCTAGAATCCTGGATGGACTGGAGGAATGGCCCACAATCAATCAGATAAGATTCAGCTAGAAGTGCAAAGTCCTGTACCTGGGATGGAATAACTGCATGCACAAATACAGACTGGGGAATGACTGGCTGGGCTACAGTACTTGCAGAGAAGGATCTGGGGGTTATGGTGGACCATAAGCTAAATACGAGCCAACAGTGTGCTCTTGTTGCAAAAAAAAAAGACAATAGCATCCTGGGTTGTGTTAACAGGAGTGTTCCTTGCAAATCAAGGAAAGTGATTTTTCTGCTCTATTCAAAACTGGTGAAGCCTCACCTGGAGTACTGTGTCCAGTTTCTCCCTTGAAGAAGGATGTGGACAGTCTGGAAAGAGTCCAGCACAGAGCAACAAAAATGATCAGGGCCTGGGAGATGAGACCTATGAGGAAAGGCTAAAAGAGCTAGGGTTATTTAGTTTGAAGAAGAGAAGACTGCAGGGGGATTTGATAACAGTTTTCAAATACCTGCAGGGTGATTATAGAAAGGATGGAGATGGGCTTTTTTTCTGTGGCCCTAAGGGACAGGACTAGAAGCCATGGCCTCAAACTGCAGTAGGGGAAATTTATGTTGGAGATTAGGGGGGACTTCTTGACCATGAGGGTGATCAATCATTGAGCAGGCTACATAGAGAAGTTGTGGAATCTCCATGCCTGGAAACTTTCAAAAGCAGGTTGGCTTTGGCTGGAATGGTTTAATCAAGGAAGATCCTGCTTTGAGTTAGATGACCTTGTGTGGTCTCTAGCAGCCCTACTTTCCTATAATCTTGTGATCCTTACAATGGCCCAAGCTGCAAAATGCACAGCAGGAGCATGCAAGGGGTGTTAGGAGTCCTGACCTGCACTGGAGCATGCTGTCAACAGGTATGGAACATTAACCTCTAACATTAGGGGAGCTTGATGGGATGATGGCAAAATCATGTTGAGATGGAATTGAAAACATAAAACAGCCTAGTAATCAGAGTGATGTGACCTTAAAATCCAGCATCTAGGAAACTGTCTGGAACAGAAAGATGTTGGTTCAATCAGTACCAACACATTCAAGTCCAGTTAACAATGGCACGCTGTAGTTCTGAATTATTGGAAAAAGGAATAAGGGGAGAAATGGATCCCCACATCACATGTCAGTTCAGCCTCTAGCAGGCAGGTGTGCACATCCTAAACACCTATAAAATAGTCACCAACCAAGCCTACTGTGGGCTGCCCCAGCACAGAAACCACAGGGTCTGAACTCCCATTTCCCTTCTACTGACAGAATTGTCAAGCTCAGGGTTGAGTGTCCCCAGCAGAGCAGTCTGTGAATTTTGCCTTGCTGCTGACTGTACTGTATCTAATCTATGCAAAATCAAAGATCTTAAATTGCGAGGATTGTCAAACCAGTCCCTTTCACCAGCAGAAAGAGCACAAGAAACCAGAATTGTTTTTAGCAGCATTGGCCATCCATCCATTTTCAATAAGCAGTTCTCCCAGCCAGTCAGTTCAGCTCACCCCAGCCTAAACATGCAGTTCCTTCCAAGGCCAAGCTTACTCCTGGTGTACATCCACCTACTCTAATATACCCCAGGAAGGAATTCAGTACCATGAGCATCATTTCAGCCATTCCCCATGGGCAGGCTGTGAAATACTGTTATTTGCTTTAGTTCTGTGATTCTCAATCAGGCTGTGCATCCTGAGGTGCCTTGAGATTGTTTCAAGAGTGCCACAGGGTACCACACAACGTTAGCATTGTGAGGTGTACAAACATGATTCACAAGACAAACTCCAGAGATCTCAAGTAGGAATCCGTAGTGTTAAAAATGGTTTGACCTGTCAGGGGCTTTCTGAGTTCTTTGCAGCAAAATCATTACTCCATTATTTTTCCAGAGTCAAAAGATTAGTGAAAGGTCAGAGTTGGCATTTTCCAAGGGGAGCCTGGAGTCTAACAAGAGTTGCCTTGAGTCTGAATAGGTTGAGAACCACTGCTTTAGCTGCTAGGGGAGAGTGAGTGACGCTAGGCGCATCCACACATTGCCCTATGGCGATGGAGCTATGCACTACATCACCGTGTGGCACGCTACGTTGATCTAGCAATCGTATGTCTACACATGATTGCCAGCTACACTGCTGTAGCAGCGCGCTCCCTGGCTATAGCGAGCCACTACAGCGATGTAGCCAGTAAATCTAAGTGTGCACTGCCCCCACGCCACAGTACAGGCAGTTACTGTGCCGTATTTTAGTACTTCTGCATCACCATAAGGTGAGGTGTAGACATGCCCACTGAAAAGTGAGCTCCAGCCCTCCTGTATGCCCAGCATCGAGCTTGCCCCGGCAGTCATTACAGTACCCTCACATCTCCATTTCAGCACAGAAATCAGCTTGTTTGCTTTAAACACATACCCCAATTTTGGAGGGCTAATTTTTGAGGGAAAGGTGTATGTAGTATGTGAGTAATTATGGTAAACAGCAAAACACCAAATGTGGTGGTTAGAATTACAGAGGCAACTGCCACCTGGCAAGCCCTACCACCTTCACCTCTGTCAGAGATTAGGGTCAGTCCTAATCTATGATCTCTAGGTTCTTATCCTAGGACCAGCACTGGAACCATGCTCAACCAACTCTGGAAAAACAAACGCCCGTCCTCACTCCTAAATGGATGCACACCAGCTTATGTACTGTAAAACCTTTTTCCACCCCTATCACCTCTGTGTGCCTTTGTTTGCTTCCCAGGACTCTTCTCCTAAAGACCACTGGGACTTTGGTACAGAGAAATGACACAATTACTACAGAGTACATTTGAGTCCAAATTTTACTCCACAGTAAATTTGGAGACAGCCATGGCCCCCTTTGAGAAAGAGGGGTACAGCTTGGGGATGGCCCCACTGCATGTGAGACAGGGGAGTGGGTAGGAATGGGAGCGCATATGGCCAGAGAGGAAATGCTTTCATGGGCTGGGCAAGGGTGGTACTCTCCTCTATCAGGGGCTGAGGAAGGGAGTAGATGGGATGAGGTGGATTGCTTCTGAATGTTGTGGGGGGAGGAGGTCTTTATGGGGGCATTGGTAACGCGTAGGGGGTGCATGCAGGTGCATGTGCACCCCCTGAGATCAGCCGTGCACCCCCTGGAAGTGCCAGCCACGAAACTGGAAGTACACTTCCGGTTTTGCTGCTGGCTTGGCAATCGGCCACTGGGGGGATCACCCCGTCGGCCATCTGGTGCCTCCCCCAGACTCAGGAGGCACCAACCACCCATGTATGGGGGTGAGGGGAGTTTGTTCTTTTCTTTTATTCTGTTTTTTTAATTCTTTGTCTCCTTTATTGTAGGATGTCTTGAGCCTTTTTGGGAAGGTTGGCATGTAAATCTACTAAATACGACTCGAGCGCAAGTAGGAGATGTGACCAGCTCTCTCATGCTAGCTACATATACTGGTCCTATTAAAAGACTTGACCTCCTGTCAAAGAGAGGCTGTTTGCATACATAGTGGAAAGGCTATTCTGGGATGAAACTGCCTGAGAACAGACACAGACACAGGCACAAAGCTGAAACCATGGTGTAGTTACTCCAGGTGCTTTGAAGTGTAGCTTTACCTCAGGTTGGAGTGACCTATGTAAGGTGATGCTTCATGTCTCCACCCCACTTTTACTATGCACTAAAGTTAATTTGTAGTAAATGTACTGTAGTAAATGTGTTGTATGTCTGCACCCTGCTGGGCTATTCAGGGAGTAATCACAGATAGAAGCGATGATCCCAGGAGAAGCAGTTGGGGGCACCGCTTGTCCATGGGATACTGTGATGGGTACAGGGCAACCAGTGAGTGAAGGAGCAAACGTTTTCTTCCTCACACGGGCCAGGGGCTGAAACACCCTTAGAAGGAGCTCATGGCACCCCAGGGTGCTGTAGGACCCTGATTGAAAATCACTGTTGTGTCATGTGACCATGAATCAGGGCACTAGAGAGCTGTAGACATAAGTCTTCATTTTATAGCCCAAATGTGGGATCAGTGCAAAGCACCTGGATTGACATCAGGTTATTTTAAGACACTTGACAGGTTAAATCTTTCCTCTTGGAGGACAGTGAACCACACCCTACAGTGCATGTCACCCTTCCCTCCCTGAAACACCACTCAACACCCCGGGGAAGAATTTCTTATTTACACATGCACACACACACAAACATAATTTATAAATTAAGGGTAGTTTAATAACCAACAGCACCATTGATAACTATAAATCTGAAGCACTAAGTACAAAAGTAGGAACTGGCAGATCCATTTTGGCTGTTGGGTTAAGAAGAGAAGGGTTTGTTGGGGCTTGAGCATATAGGTTTCTTTTTGGGATCACACTGTCCGCTGCACTTTGGCTTTGCTTTCCCTTGCCAGCGTGTGCTGTGCTAGCCTCTTCTCTCCTCTTGCTGAAGGCAGAAGACCCACTGGCTCATTCATTTCGCTCACAGGGAGGAGGTGGACATGAGCTGGTGGGGAGCCAGCTTCCAGGCTTGATATTGGGTGTTCTGTGTCCAGGTGCACCTCAACCGTCTCCAGCCTATCCAGCTGGCTGTCTCCAGAGTTGGGTAAGCTCTCTGGCGGGTCAATGAAGGACAGGACATCCCCAGCACTGATGTCTAACTGTGTGGGTGCCAATGTGTCCTGGGGAGCTGCCAGGCCGCTGGACAAGGTGCTGTTTGGGGAGGAAAGGGCAGCATTGGCCAGCAGACTGTGGGCACTGGAGGTCATGGCATGTTCCTTAGATTCCAAGGCAGCACTGGCAGGAGGGCTGGACTTGCCATTCATCGGCCGACTGTTTCTTTGCACAAACTCCTTCCTCAGGGCTGCTACATGCATCTGCAGCAGCTCCCGGTGCTGCCACTCCATCTGCTCAACCTGAAGAAAAAGCCAACCAAGAGTCAAACGGAAAGGCAGGCCTCACTGCCTTTGAGGGATGCAGCTGTTTGCTGGATCTGTCACTGGGAGCTGACAAGGGAAGATTCCATCTTGCTAAGGGTCCTGCATCAATATTGTACCAGCCATAAAGGAGGAAGCCAGGGCCTTTTGCAAACCATTTAAAGCAGGGGTGTCAAAGATATGGCCTACCATCTGGATCCAGCCCACAGAGCCATCTTATCCAGCCTGCAGGGCTCCTGGAGGGGCCAGGAATTCAGGGGTGAGGCAAGTGGGGGCAGGTTTGGCTCCCAAAATCTGGGTTATGGAGGCCAGTGAAGACACATTTCAGGGGTGGGAAGCTGAGTGATGGATATGTTAGTCCCTATGGTTCCCTGAGCTGACACAGTCCCACTCACCTGCTGCTTGCCCCACTACTGGAGGTGAATGTGGATCTGGACGGCAAGGAGCCCCAATCTGGATCCAGTCACAGGGCCCAGTGAATTCGATACCCCTGATTTAAAGGAATAAATCTGGCAAACCCAGAAATGCTTCCCTTACTGGTGTGGAACACAGCAGTTGTTTAACAGTTAAAAGCAACATTGAACAAACACTGAAGACAGAGTGTGAAACTGAAATCTGCATCTAGCTGACACAACAGGGAGAAATCTTGGGCAGTGAGGTACACCATAATCACCTGAGCTGGAACTGGTGCAAGGCCCTGGGTTAACATTCTCACCACTTTGCAAATGTCAGGGAACCACAATGCTGGGGCATTAGGACTAGCAGCGGCTGAAAGGGGGGCGGGGGAGAAACGGAAACAGCTACTGAGTCAGCAATCTCTTTTTCTGCAGTAACCTAGGTCATCCTTAAGCACTTTCCTGTATCGAGTCCTCCAACTTGTGAGATCAGTCTGTAGTAGTGACAGGTATGACTTTGCCACTGCAGAAACAGACCCTGAGACCTTTCAAAGGTCCATCACACTGAAGAAAAACTGATGCAGAAAAACAGCATGTAGTATCTCTAAGCATGCAGTGTAGTGCTACTGTAGACCTGGAAAGGGCCCTACTGGCCTAGCAGCTCTCATGCTGCTGTCTGCTGTTGATAACCCAGGAAGAGCAAAGTGGTTACATGGTCCTGACTCCTCCTTCTGTCTTCCACACAATTTCACAAGCATCCAGGGTAGAGCCTGGAGGGCTGCAAAAAAAGCTGATAAATAGAAGGAGGGGCTCTTCCTAGGGCTGCTGTTGTATAAAAATAGAAGAACATCTTTATACAACAGCTGCTCCAGTCCTCAAAGATTTCTGGGGACAGAAGCAGCCAAAGAAGGTGCAGGCAGGCTGGCAGCCTGTCCTGAGAAAGAAGAAGCCAGGGTCTGAGAGGGAAGGGGAGAATGAAAATAACATCACCAGCATCAGGAGCTGAGGGATCAAAATACCCTGCAGGAGGCACCTATGAGCTAAATTACTAACCCAGTCAGTTTGGCTTGTCATCTAACTTAGCTTTTAACCATGAATGCTGCTCAGTGCATTTCTCTCAGTTGGCTGGTCAGTTTAACTTCCTGGTTTCAAGCCCTAGTGCAGTGTGATTGACTTTGGGTCACAGAACCACAGGTAATTTGTAAATCCAAAAAATATTTCTGAGCCAAATTTTCTGCTGTTGTAAGCTGACATAGCCCCACTGAAAGCAATGGTACTGCTGGACTTCAAAGCAGGAGAAAAAAATGGTATTTGTTTAGAATACAAATCATGAACATAATCATATGTGTCTCCTTTAAACCCTACCTCTACAACAGAGCTGGCCAACACATGGCCTGTGGGCTGCATCTGGCCTACAAGAGGTTACCCACCAACACACCCTGATATTGTTTCTGCTGCTGTGGTGATTGGTGGTCTCTAGCCTGATGCCCATATGGGCATCCAGGGGGCAGAGGGGCTTGGACGGTGGGTCAGGGGCTCTCACTGCTTCTGTGGCAGTGGTGGCAGGAGGTAAAGGGGGCCCTGTGTAATGTCACTGATGGTAAGGCAGCATGTGGCCTGTGTGGTGTGTAGGCCAGGGCCTGAGACTGGTATGGCATGCAGCGGCTGGCTGCTCAGAAGTTAGACAGCCCTGGTCTAGAATGGTTGGCTCAGGAATACTTGGCATTGCCCCTTTAACAATATTCCCTGGGGTTTAACCACCTTGAAAAAGTCTAATGGTAATACGTCTGGGTGAGCATTCCAAGGGGAGGGAGGGAGACCTACCATTTTGCTGACTTTCTTTTCCAAGTCATCCGAGGCCTGGTACCGTTTCAGCTCCTCTGCCATACGGATGTTAGCTTGGATGATGCTGGCGATCTGAAACAAAAGGAACGCCCACCAAAGAGGTGTCATACAAGAGGAGCCCTTGATTCCAAATCACAGTGAAGCCACGTTCAGCAGCAACCAATGCCTTCAAGATGAGCCACAGGTAAAGTGGGTCAAACACAATGCAGCAGACAGCCTGCTGGATGGAGAATGGTGTCATTCCTGTAGGTATTGGGACTGTAATAACCACTACTTCTGCTTTGCTATTGCAGTGTCCTACAGCTCTGCACTGTGGGCTATGCAAAAGCTTCATTTCACACCAAGCTTCAGAGGTCACTTCTACATTATGCAGTATAAATCTGGAGGCTTGACAGTTTACTGGATTAACAAGATCACTATTCATCTCTGGAGACCTGGGTGCAAATTTTGACTCTGGTCTCAATATAAATGTGTTTGGTGATCTTGCTTTTGTCCCTCCATCCCACAGCACCACACAGTTCTTCATAGCGCCAGTCCTTGTTTAGGAGAAGCCCTGAACAGTAACTGGCAAGGAGGGCTGCAGGTCAGGACTGAGGTAACTTGATGGGAAAGGAGCCTGAACACAATCTACATGAGCTGCTGCCAGTGCTACCAACTACCTGTTATCATAAAAGCTGTATTTGCACCCAATAAAACTAGTGGATGAAAATCATGGTACAATCCAATGAAGCTCACAAGATCACAAGTTTGCTCAAGAAGTTTTCAAAGCCCTCTGCACTAAAGACAGCTGAGAATGGAGGCTAAAAGACACTTCCTATTCCTATCTATTGCAATGCTAGTTTACCTACCGCCCATTCCCTGAGTGCTGTCCTGAGTTTATGTTGGCTCTCCACACTATTTATATTCTGTGGCATTTGGATCCTGCATGCTTGCACCCAAAGCTGCACTGTGGTGGAAATGGGAGTTAACAGATTACATGAATTAATGGTGAGAAACAGGACACTTTTTTTCTTTACATGCTATCTAGCCTCTCTTCCCACATGCCTGAGAGCTGCCTCTCTCTGCTGTCCCACTCTATCATTGGCAATAATCTGAGGGTTTGGAGCAACAGAGGCATGGTGCAAAGTCACCAAGAAAAGGGTCACAAAAGAGAAATCAAGCTATATTTGTAAAACTTCCATTTCCCATCAGCCACATCCTTTCACACCCAGCTCAGCAATGTTATTGGGCAAGAGTGCACTGAAATAAGTGCTATGAAAGGGAGAAAGGGAAGCCACACTCCATGTGCCCCCACCTAGAGCAGCTGCTGTGAAGCCCTGTGTAGACTGGGCTGTAACAGAACAGGGGGCACCAAGGCCCACTGAAAATTACTTTAGCTAGAATTATTCCCCAGCCACCTCACCTTCCACTTTCTTCCCGTACAGCAGTGGCCAGGGTGCTTCAGGAATGGTGGGCCAAATTACCCAGCTCAGTCTGAGCTGGACTGGCCCCTTCAACTTGGCTGTCATCATTTCTCCCCACTATCACTTCTCCCTGTCACCCAGTGGAGGTGGCTTTGCTCTGCTATCTGGGCAAAACTTTCACCACTGCCGAAGCCCCCGCCCCCCCAAAACCTCACAGGCTTTGTGGGCTGGATAAAGTGCCTCCACACGCCAGATCTGGCCCAGAGGCCATAGGTCACTGACCCCCAAACTATAGTGTTTCCAAAGCTGAGGCTTCCTCTCTGCAGTTCTAGGAGGCCTAGCCAGCCATGCTGGACAGCCAAGCTGCATGCTCCACTCTACCTACATGTTCCTTCAGCTGCAGGATTTCTGCCCGGAGCCTGCATTCCATCTCCTTCTTCTCCTCCAGCAGCTGCTGGTTCTGCTGGTGCAGTTCAATGAGTTGTTTCTCTAGCAGGTTCTGATCCAGACTCTCACCAGACTATGCAGAGAGGGAGAAAGTGGCTCTAAGGTTAGCATGGGAAGGAAAGGGCAAGGGAATATGCACTGCAGATCATCGCAGACTTAAGGTGAGGGTCTGACTCCCTGCTCCTGAAGTGGCTTGGGGAACCTGCATGGACTGCTTTGCAACCTATGGAAAGTGCAAACTAGAACAGTGTTTCTCAGCCTTTTTTGTACCAGGACCCATTTGTAAACATCAATGGCCAGTCTTGACCCAGTGCCCCTCATTTGCAACCCACTGCTCCCAGGCCCCAGACCCCAGTCTGTAGGACAGGAGGTGGGTGCGTGGGGCAAGGTGGGCTGTGTGTGGGATATGGGGGGCCCCAAGCAACCTCTTGCAGGCTGGAACTCCTGACAACCTACAAGGGAAAAGCTATGGTTTCCCATGTTTTTCTCCTTTAAAAGAGAATCAATTTTAAAGTTTGTTGATGCATTTTTATTTGTTTGCAACCCTTTCAAGTATTGTAACATTTCAAGATTGTAAAATTTCTCCCAGGTGGAAATGGGAGAAATTTTACAATCCATGTCTGACAAAGGGCATGTGCCCCCAAAAGCTTGCAAATAAAAATATTTTTTTGCAAGTATCTAGTTGGTCTAATAAAAGATATCACCTCCCCAAGAGTTCTGATTACTTTTGCCTACAGACCAACACAGCTACAACCTGTAACTCTGAGATGTGGCATAGAAGCATATAGCACACATAGGATCTTTCCTCAGTATTTCTGCTGGACAGGGCAAGGAGCTGGCTAGTGGTCTGCACTGACTGAAGAAAAAAGCAGGGAAGGGAAAAATCATCATTAAAAGACAAAAAGAGCCTATGACTGATCAAAGGTAATAATGAGCTCCAAGGAATCAAATGGTGCCCACTGCAGTTCCAAGAAGAGAGCTTAACAGGGTGTTAACAAAGCTAACAAAAGAAAAGGCCCCCAACACCCTTCACGCCCTGCCCTCCACACACATATGTGTGTGCGAGTGTGTGTCAAGAACAGGGGTGACAAATTACAACCCAAAGGTTTTTTTTTTTTTCTCTGAATATCAAGCACTTAAAACCAGAAGCTTAGAAGCATAGCCTGTGACCATCCCCTCAGGACTCATTGGAACAATAGTTGGCTGCTTTCATTAAATTTGCCTTGGAATCATAGACTTGGAAGAGGCCTCAAGAGCCATGTGGCCCAACCCCTTGCAGAGCTGCAGGATTCCTGTGGTCCCTGTAGCAGGGGCAATGCAGTGCAGCAGAGATTTCTGTCCCATGTGCCATAGCTCCTGTAGCAAAGCAGCTTCAGTCATACACACATTCAGAGGCTCATGTATCTCACCCCGCAGCCTGTACTTTTACTCTCCCCACATGCACTGGGTGTCCACTCTGAGTTTGATGCTACCTACTAAGCACCCTTAACCACAACTTCCCTACAGTACCACATGGGAAATCAAGAAACAAAGAAGCATTATGTGACTTGGCCATACAAGAAGCCTGTGGCTAAACAGGGAAGTAAACATATCTCCTAGCCCTCAAATGGATACCTTAACCACTGGGCCATCTGTCCTCCAAATAGCCTCCCTAAATCCCATTCCCTTCTTACCTGCCTAGACACGGAATTGGGTCCATCTTCAAAGATAATACTGCTACCGTCTCCATCAGGGTCCATCAACACTAGTGTCTGGTGGGCAGGTATGGATGAGGAGGACGTGCTGAGCCCGACAGTCTCCTCTGCTCCTAGTGCCATCCCACTGTTGAAACTACTGTCCTTTGAAAAGAGAAGATAGAGTGAAATGCTTCGGCATCAAGAGCAAGATCCTAGGTGTGTATTAGAGACACCTGTCTGCTCTGCAACCTGCATCCCAGGGAGTCAGTACATGGCACACTGACCTAAAGAATGCCCCTTTCCTCTTCAGGGAA